AAGAAGGGGAAGATCTCAGAGGTCGAGCGCTGTACTATCTTCATCGGACACTTGTCCAAAGGCAGGCAGAAGAGTATACTAAGAGATCTTCCGCAGGACAGGCTTGATTTCCCAGAAGTCCCAAAGCTCGCGATAAAGGCAGAGGCAGACGATTACAAGGACTTGGTGTGGAGAGGGATGAGGAGATGCGACTTCTCTCTCTACAAGGAGTATGCCATGGATAGATGTCCTGATTTCAAGGACTATCCCTGGTCGGAGAAGAATGCGGCCGTGGCTGAGGAAGTGAAGGAGATACGGGACATGGTGAAGGGATTAACGAGACAGGTCACAGAGATTGTGACCACTACAGGGGCCACGGCCTACCAGGACAAACCTGGAGGGCCCTATTCACTTCGCTGGGACCGTAGGAACAACGATCCCTGGAGGAGTGTCGAGGATAGAAATCCTCGGACGCTGACTGATTATCGTACGAGGGGAAGAGAGAGAGACGATGAGCCATGGCGACGTAGGGATGATGAGATAGACCGAGACCGCAGAGATCGCGAGCCGTTTGCGTGAACAAGAAGGCTCGAGGATTACCCGCGAAGCCCTCGCTATGAGGCTGATCGGGGTGGAGGTGACTCCCGCGGCCGATGGGAGACAGATCAGGCCCGACGAGATGGACATAAGAACGACAGATACGAGAGATCGGACCGAGATGGATATAGAAACGACAAATACGAGAGATCGCACCGGGACGGCTATAGGGATGACAGATACGAGAGGTCAGGTCGAGATGGTTAGAGAGGTGGTAGGTATGAGAGAGGAGATCGGGACTGGGAACGACAAGATGGGTCGCGCGGACGGTTTGAGTGCGGGGTAGATGCGAGAGAGCAGCGCGACAAGTCGCGGGGATGGTACAACCGAGGGGACCGCCAGAATGATTCGCGAGGGCGGTATGAGCAAGGAGGGTCTGGAGGAGACCGCCGCAATGATTCGCGCAGTCGGAATGAGAAAGGGGAATATGGCGTCTCATCATAACCATATCCCAAGTCGCCTGACCCCAAGACAGCCAGGAGTTCGATCTCTAGAAGTGCAGACGAAAGACCATCTACTCCCAGGAACTCATGCGTCTACTGTAGAGGAGAAGATCATATCAAGAGGGATTGCCCGGACCTCAAACGGGCAATAGATGAGGGACTTGTCGTGCTTGACGACCGCAAGTACGTCAAGTGGGCAGATGGTCTGGGAGATGTATCGATGTTCCCTTCGATGAAGGAGAATGTAAAAGCAAGGAGAGTAAAACCGAGTAAAGAAAAGGAGCTGGTCAGGAGCCAGAGCATCAAGATAACCTTTGAGGGGGATATGGCAACCACACCCATAAGGGTGGCAGCCACCAAGTCGGCGAGAGGGTCCACATCGAAGAAGACTGACACGGATTACGTGATGACGGAGAAGGACGGGCAGCGGATCGATGGAGAGGAGGTTATCCTTTCGCCGCGAAAGMGGGGAGTGAAGAAGTTCTTAATGAAGAGTTTGCTGGACGAGATTGGCCCGGTCGAGCCACTGAGGCGGGCCCTTCGGCAACCCATGCAGTGCTCTATTCTGGAGTACCTGGCGGCATCGAAGCCGGCTCGTGATGAGTTACAGATGATCACGCGGAAGACTCGCATACCTCTATTGGAGGAGGGTCAGGGGGTCCCTAAGGCGGAAGCTTCTACAGTAGCAGTAACGGGGGTGACTGCCAGAGCAGATCACATGGCGACAGTCCTTCTTGATGGAATGGAAGGTGTGCCTCCAGACARGTTTTATATACTTGGTAGCGGGGCCGTGGAGACGATTATAAACCATAGAGCGATACTCGATGCTGTGATCGATAACGACAGTGAGGCTGTCATCATAGACGAGGACCTGGGAGTACACGTTGGACTAGGCCTCGATAGGTCATGCCTATTCGAGATAGAGACGGCTGATGGGAGAAAGCAACAGATCACTGAGGTTTGTCACAAGCCAGCCATAGAGGTCCAAGGGGTACGAGTGACCCTGCCTGTTTTTGCAGTCAAGAACTGCAGCTCCGACCTGCTCTTTGGTCGAACGTGGTTGAGCCACGTGCATGCGGTGTTGATAGAGCGACCTGATGGGAGCGAAACGTTGTCCATTAGGAAGCCAGACGGGACGCGGGTAATGATTGAGACAGTGGAGCCTCGGGACCCGAGGAACAGAGCAGCTCTCGTTGTGGGTGCAAGACCCAGTGATCAGATTAAGTCGTTACCTATCTCCGGCCGCACGGTGCGATTTCGCGAGAAGAGATATGGACCACTGCTCACAGAGGAAGAAGGTCGGATCGTAGAAGTGGAAGATTTAGGGAGTGGGCTAAAAGTGGACGGCAACTCGTACCCAAAGGAAAAAGATGAGGAATTTGGCGGTGTGGTATCTGTGTCTTTTTTAAGGGCACGGCCCCCTATGGGGGGCTACCCAAGCGACACAAGCGAGTAGCTCAAAAAGTTAAGCCAGCGACGGTAGGCCGTGAGCGATCGGCACTGGATGGGGTATCAGAAGAAGAGATCGCGAAAGAAATCAAAGAAAGAAAGAAAAATGAGCCACAACGCCTAACGGAAGAGAGGATAGCAGGGATGGATATCGGAGATGGGAATTTGACCCCACATAGCGAGAACGTGTGATATAAATCCTGAAGACATGTGATAAGGCCATAGCTTTTAGTGACGCGGAGCGCGGTAGGGTTGACCGTCGATACGCTAAGCCAGCAAGGATTTACACGATACCACATGTTCCCTGGAATAATGAGGGATGGAAATACGCCTAGAAGGAGAAGGAAGAAGTTATCGCTTTCCTGAAAGAAAAGATGGTTTCCCATGTTGCGGAGCCGTCTGATAGCGCTTATGCTAATTGATGGTTCTTCCTACGAAAGCCGAATGGCAAGATCCGATGGATCCTGGACCTTCAAAATGTCAACGAGCTGACGATACGAGACGTGGGCTCCATGCCACACACCGATTTACTGGCAGAAGGCGCCACAGGTAGGTCGATTTACTCGGTCTGTGATCCGTTCTCAGGCTATGATGAGGTGCCACTTGACCCTAGAGACAGGCACCTCACGACTATGCATACGTCATTGGGACTAATACAGATGATGGTTGTCCCTATGGGTTGGACTAATGGGGTAGCCGTTTTTCAGAGAGCCATGGTAGTCGTCCTCAAGGACTTCATCCCTGATAAGGTTGAAGTTTTTCTGGATGACTTTCCTATAAAAGGGTCAGTAAACAAGGATGAGGCAGAGGTTGCACCTGGAGTTAGAAGATTCGTCGAGCAGCACCTAACGAATATTTGCACGGTACTCGAGCAGCTGGACGATGCGAATCTAACAGTCAGCGGAACAAAGAGTCGATGGGCCGTCTCGACTATTAAGATCTTGGGTTTTATCTGTGACTCGAGAGGACGCCGAGCAGATCCGGCGGATTAGACAAACTTCTGAACTGACCCTCACCGTTACATAGCCCAACCGAGGTCCGACAGTTTCTACGAGTGGTCGGTTACTGGCGTATATTCATATGGGGGTATGCGGAGAAGACTGAGCCATTGAGGTTACTCCTTCAAAAGACTGAAAAATTCTATTGGAATTCTTCGCAGGAACTCGCTATGCAAGAACTTAAAGACTAATTAAAGGAAGGAGGACGTGTGTTGGGTGTGTCATTCTTTGACGATGAGCCCGAGAGACCCTTCATAGTATCCACGGATGCTGGACCATGTTCAGTGGGTGGTTTGCTGTCTCAGAAGGACGCTGGAGGGAAGGAAAGATCGTTAAGATTTGAGAGTAAGACACTTAATACGGCTGAGCGTAACTATAGTCAATTCAAGAAGGAAGTGTTAGCTGTTCTCCGGTGTCAAGACACGTTCAGACATTATATCTATGGGCGACGGTTCATCTTGAGAGTAGACCCCACTTCGGTTGCCTCTGTTCTCCTGAAGGACTTTCGTCTGACGGACCCGACCATCGCCCGATGGTTAATACGGATTCGGCTATACGATTACACGGTTGAGAGTCTATCTGGTACTAAAAATGCCGTGGCAGATGAACTTTCACGCATCCCTCTCGAACGTCCGATAGTAGCTGGGGCCCTGACAATGGCAGAGCCGAGACGCGCCGAAAGATTTATAGTTAATCTTTACGAGGGCAAGTACCGAACGATCGGACTACACCTGACGGGAGAAGAGAGTCAAGATTCAGATATCCAGAGGCAAATAGCCCAGTACTGCCTTAGAGCGGGCCACCTTTTCCGAAGACCAGTAGAGTCGGGAATGCCCTTACGAGTAGTCTGTGATCCTGAGGAGAGACAGACAATAGTTGCGGAGCTTCACGAYGGGGTAGTCGGAGGACACAGAGGAGTCAAAGGAACCTACGAAAAGGTACRCAGGTTGTACTGGTGGGAAGGACAGTATAAGGACGTCGAGAGGCACTGTAGGACCTGCGAAGAGTGCCAGAAGAGAGCTCTTGTGAAATACAAAGAGCCACTTCATTCATCCTATCCGACCAGACCAGGAGAGAAAGTACACATCGATCTAGTGAAAATGCTGAAAGGGGTAGGCAATATGAACTACGCCATGAACATACGAGACGATTTCACAGGGTTCGTGGACGGTAGACCCATCAGGAGTAAGACGGCAAAGGAAGTAAAGAACTTCGTCTTGGAGTACTTATCTAGGTATGGTTGTGTCAGCAAGACAGTGATGGACAGAGGGGCAGAATTTCTAGCTGACGAGGTCCAGAGTGTGTTCAAGAGAGTCGGGGCGAGAATTTCGATAGCCACCGCCTATCACCCACAGTCGAACTCCCCAGTAGAGAGGGAACACCAGACTCTGATAGCGTCACAATCCAAGTGGTGTAAGGGTAAGGACAGTGATTGGCCACAATATTTTCGATACGCAATATGGGCGGACAACGTCACGGTCCGGGCTAGTACCGGATACCCACCGTACACCTTGTGGTTTGGGTGACATTGTCCGCTTCCCATAGAGTTTCACGTTGACAGCTGGATAACCGTCGACTGGGCGGAGAAGATGTCCAGAGAGGAACTCATAGCTGCCCGAACAAGACAGATAGCCTACGGTTTGGAAGATAACCTCACGACAACGGCAGATCGTCTGGCAGTGGAAAGAGACAAAGGTAAAGAGAGATGGGATAAGGACGTGAGAATCAGGAAGGAGAGGGTGAGTGTACGAGATATGGTCCTTCTCTACGATGCAGCGCTGGAAAGAACTTGGACCAGAAAACTCGCAAATAGATGGATGGGACCTTACAGAGTGGTTGAGGCACTCGACTGGGGTGCATATATGATAGCAGAATTGGATGGATCTAAGTGGAAGGACCCAGTGGCGGGCGCTAGGTTAAAGCTGTTTAGACCCAGGCCTGCACCCACCTTATCGCTGACGGGCCCCAAAGAAAAGGGGAAGGCTAAGATGGAGGATGGAGATCCCTTGAGACGATTCGAGGCAGGCGAAAGCTCCAAGAAGAGAAAAAGAATAGAGAAAAGAAAGGTCAAAGGGTTAACTCTATGAAGAAAGAAGAAATGGTTATTCGTGCTCAAGAGAGCCAAACGGAGAGTCCGCATTAGACAAACTGGCGGGACGGCACCCTTCTCGGGCCAACGACAGAAAAAAAAGAGGATCCTACCAAGGCCGAGAACCCGGCGGGGAAGGAAAGTAAAAAACCATCTACTTAGTCCTAGAACTCAAAACAGACCGAAACATAAGACAATTGAACGCCGACGTGGGCGTCCTTTACGGGCCGTCATCCTTAAGCTCGTCCGCTTCGTCTGACGTAAGTGGGTAGGGCTTGACGGGGCCGTCGATAAATGGTCCGGGCTAACTGTCTGGCGGCCACAAGCAGTGCGCCGCCTGAAATCTGGGGTTTTGGGTCTTAGGTTTAAAGACAAGTCCGCGTTTTGACGGTACTCCGGGTAGACCAGGCAGCAAATTTAGGGGAGCTCAGAGCACCCCTGATTTTGGGCACGCTGGAAGCCAAGTGTGAAAAGGTATTATTGGCAGTTTTACAGCATAAGCAAATCCAAATCCTAAATAAAGAATTTTTTCCAAAATAAAAGGATATTGTTTTTCAGCTAAATCTTCCTCAAAGACGACGAGATGAGTGACCGCACTAGGCGCGAGCTGGGCTGAAATGAAGCCTCAAATATTTAGTTAAATTTAATATCCAAATTAAAAATGGGAGAAAAAATTAAAGATAAAAGAAAAGAAGGGTAAAGCTAAATACTCGTTGCTTTATTTAAAATCTTCGATGATTAACTTTTGATATAAAAACCCTAAATTATTGATTTTTCTGACAATAAAAATTAAAAACATGAAAAATAATCAAAAGAGACAAAAGAGAAAAGAAACGAAGAATTTTTGTTATCTAGTTGGATTCCATCGGAAGTTGTTTTTGATGGATTCGGCTTTGTTCTCGATATTTTTGATAAGTAAATCAAGAAGTAGGAGAACCAATTAAATAGGAAACGATGGGAGAAAAACCAAGATTGTTAACTGACTGGCGTAGTTTGGCTCCAATTATCCGCGATCGGAATTACCCCCGGATTAATCATTTATTATAATTTTGATGATTTCTGCAACACTGTGATGATTGGGATTTGTGCCCATGGCCTGCCTTAATCTCCCTGATTTTCGACTTTACCGTAACCAGTGTGCTATAAGTGCGGGATAGACAGATGTGGGGCGTTACCGCTACGTTGTTTAACTGTGCCCCGCCCCCTTTTTTTCCCGCTTGAGTTTGAACATGTGGATCGGGAGGCTCGATACTATTACGGGATTCAGACATTCTATGGTATTTGGCACATTTCACACACGGTATTGCCCCGACATCAATGTGGMACACGCCTGGGAGTCATCCTTTGGTTCGGTTTGGGCGCGACAGTCTGGTTCGGGCAGGTTCGGAACTATTACGGCACCGCGACATTCTTCGATATTCGACATGTTACAGGTTCGAAATTGGGTCAGCATCGACATGGTAAGATATTCTCAGGTTCGGATTTGTTTCGGCATTGGCACGGTACGRCTGTTTTTTCGAAGTTGGTACTTCCCAACGTGACACTCCAGTCGGGTTTGAGGCTGTTGCARTTCAAGCTAGTAATTTTCAGCCTCGATATTAGTATGGTGTCACCATGCGTTGTTACGGTTCAAATGGATATTATATTTTTCCTGCCTCGGCTGACACGATACAGCCACCAGAGCAGCACTGAAACWGGCTCCTATGAGTCGAAGGTATCCCTTGGCATRACCGAGTATGGGGCTCTGATCCACATCAGGGTTGGTGTGGTTYATTTGTCTGGGGCACAGTGCTGATTCCAACRGTACGATCACTGGGACAGCRCTGGTATGGCCACTGAGACGGAAACCTATGATGGKCGGTTGGTGTCGGTACARCAYATGGGCTGCTTGAAGAGGGTTCTKATCTGATTCGGGACTGCTGCGGCTCATAAAATTACCACGGGTACGRCACATACGCCCTTTGGTTTGGTTGGTGTGGTATTATGACCAAAMCTGCTATGACTCGGCACGGGCCACTG